ACTGGAGGAGAGTGAAACTCGGGCTTCTAAGCAAAGCTGTAAAGTAGCCAAGTTTAAGACACAAGGCTCATGTGGCTGGAGCCTGACTGAAAAGTGAAGCTGTGGCCTTCCCAGCCAGGTGGCGTAGGAACTCCTGCACGCGGTGCGGAAGGGCTGAAGTCGGCCGGCAGAGGAGCAAAGAGCGAGTTCTATGTTCCAGATGGGCCGCATTCCCAGCAGAAGAGCCTGTCCTTCAGAGCAGGACGGTTCCTTTCGGTGCAGTGCTTCTCTGGGTGTAGGATCACACCACTCGCTGAGGACACTCACAGTCCCTAGCCCTCACCTATTAATGTCTGTAATACTCTCCAGTCCAGACAACAACAACCAAAAATTGAAAAAGCCAGGCATGGTGGCACAGGCCTGTAATCTCAGCACTCGGGAGGCTGAGGTAGGATTACTACAAGTCTGAGGCCAGCCTCAGATAGTGAGTTCAAGGACAGCCTGGACTACATAGCGAGACCCTGTCTCAAAAAATAAAAAATAAAATAAAAATTTAAAAACCCTCAAGGCAGAGGCTGGGGATTTAGCTCAGTGACACAGCGCCTGCCTGGCAAGCATGATGTTGTGAGTTCGATTCCCAGTACCAGAAAAAACAAAACAAACAAAAAAGGCCAGGGATATAGCTACCAGCACAGTGCCTACCTGACAAGTGTGAGGCCCTGAGTTCAATTCCTGGTACCAAAAAAGAAAGAAAGAAAAAAACAAAACTGCTCACCTATTTCTAAATGCCCTAGGTGGTGGCAGCTTCTGCAGTTTTACACAATAGTTTCTGGTTCAGGTTCAAATTAAGGCAGAAGAAAAACAAGAAGACCATTAGAAATGTATTGTGGGCTGGTGGTGTAGCAGCATGCAGGCCTGGGTTTGATCCCCAGTACTGCCCCTCCAAAGTACATTGTGATGATTTAGAGAAGATGTCATGATTAGATTGTAAATTACAGGGGCGGGGGAAAGAAAGGTAGGAAGGAGCAGAACAGAATCAACAGGATTTGGCTTTTGTTAAACAGATGGAAGAAGAGAAAATGAATACCAGATTTCAAGCCTGTATTGAGAGTAACAATGACACTAATTAAGGAAAGGAGAAAATTAAACTATCAAGTTCATTTTTAGCTGACTGAAACATCTAGTGTCTCTATGGCAACATAAACAAATAATTAGAAATGTGGATCTGCTGCTCAACATGAATGAGGGATAAGAAAGAAAACTGAAGCCAGATGAGGTAGCACTTTCCTACAGTCCTAGCACTGTGAGAAGCTGAGGCAGGAGGATTTCAAGTTTGAGCCTAGGTTGGGCAACTTAGTCCCTGTCTGAAAATAAAATATTTAAAGAAAGGATGAGGATGTAGCTCAGTGTGAAGGACCTGTGTTCAATTCCCAGTACTGAAAAAAAGTAAGAGATTAAAGAAGAAATTCAAAACAGAAAGAACAAGGACATAAGAAAGAAATTAAATTAATTCTGTTTTCAACCTATTTCAAAAATTCCCCTGCCAGGCATGGTGGCTCACGCCTGTAATCCTAGTACTCAGGAGGCTGAAGCAGGAGGATCACCATGAGTTCAAGGCCAATGTGGGCTACATAGTGAATTTAAGGCCAGCCCGAGCTGCATAATGAGATCCTGTCTCAAAACACAAAAAAGAAAAAAACATTGCCCTTACCTCTATAACAGCCCTCTTCAGTGTGCCATCTGTGTATCTCCAGTACACAGACACAGAAGAAAACGGGAGACAGATCAAAAAGGACAATGAGACACAAACACAAAAAGAAAAGATTATCTGTGACCCCTTTTCTTGGACCTCCCATGAAGACTGCAAGTGTTCTAAAATATTCAAACGCACAGGCTCTAGGCGTCCACAGGCTTACTCACTGCACTCCAACCCTTTCCGCTGCCCCTTCAAAGAAGTGCCTCCCCTTTGTCGTATATTATTTACCAAAGCTACTTAACTGAAAATGATTCTTTTCCTTTCTCATAAGAAAGCTACTGCTGGGCTGGGGCTATAGCTCAGCGGCACAGCACCTGCCTGGCAAGTGTAAGGTTGCGAGTTCGGTTCCTGGTACCAAAAAATAGGAAAGAAAGCAAGCTACTGCTGAACTAATACACACCCTTGAGTATTTCTTCACATGGTTTCTATTTTGCCCAGTGTTATGGTTTGAACATAAACAGTGTCCCCCAAAGGTCCCAGGACAGCACTACTGGAAGGTGCTATGGCCCTTTAAAAGGTGTGCCCTAGTGGAAGGCTTTTGGGGAACTGAGTGCAGGCCCTGGAAGGGCGCTACGGGACTTCAGTTTTGCCTTTGCTCCCTGGCTTTCACTGTCACATATTCTGTTTCAAACAAACACACAAAGCCAGTTGTGACCGCAGAGAGCTCCTGGAAGGGCTCAGGACTGTTCCCCCACCCCCAGGCCAGGAATCATACTTTGAGGCCCACTGCTTCAAGTGGTTTGCAACAACGCAAGTATAGACAGCTTCTTGAGAGAACTAAAATCACAATGGTTTGGCCTGTTCCTTTGACCTCCTTAGAGCCAATTTACTGAACACCTCTCCATACAAGAGCGTAACATATGATCTGGGGTAGCCAGCTGATAAGATGGTAGCCAGTTATCCTCCCCTCCTGGCCTTTACACCTCTCCGTCAGTGCTGTGTGACCAAGAGAACAGAATGGAGGAGATGTGGGCACTTCTCTTGGTGTCTGCCTCTGTCTCTCTCAGGTCATTTGTGTGTGGGCAGCCAGCTGCCACTTATGAGCAGCTCTATGGAGAGGTCCGTGTGGCAAGGAACTGAGGCTTCCTGGTGACAGCTGAGCAAGCTTGGAAGACCTTTTCCAGCCCTCATCCACAGCCCTGGCTAGTGGACTAACAGCAGCCTCATGAGCAACCCTGGGCCAGAACTTCCGAGAAAAGCCAAATCTCTGCTCCTCAGGAATAAAATAAGAAATACTGCTTTAAATTGCTAAACTTAGCGGTAATTTCTTATACAGCATAGATAACCAATACATATTTCTCCCTATCTGAGTTTAAAATATAGCTATTTTTTGTAAAGATACATACATACAAACTGACAATAAAGGACAATATAATTCAGTATCAGTTAGTATTCCAGACAATGAAACCTAAGTACGCTCAGAAGAGCAATTTTTCTATGAGCTGGAGAAAAAATTTCATGGAAGAGTTAGAACCGTAAGTTGTCAAGGAGAGAGGGTTCAGCAAAGGAGGCAAAAAGACTGTAGGAAGTAAGAAATCAAGCCCGGGCATGGTGGCGCATGCCTGTTATCCCAGTACTTGGGAGGCTGAGGCAGGAGGGTCTTTGCGAGCTCGAGGCCTGCCTGGGCTACAAGGTCAGCCTGAACTATAGAGTGAGACCCTGTCTCAAAAAGACAAAAAAAAAGAGATCAAGTATGGGAAAAGCTAAGGCACAGCTAGCTGAAGAGGATTCTTGGAGATGAAGTGATAACTTTAAAGAGAAGCCAAATTAAAGACAGCTTTAAAAATAAGATGAGCACTCGGGAGGCTGAGGCAGGAGGATCACTGCAAGTTCAAGGCCAGCCTGGGCTACAAAGTGAGCTCAAGGCCGGCCTGAACTGCATAGCAAGACCTTGTCTCAAAAAGACAAAAAAAAAGATGAAGTTTAGATTTTATCTTATAGGCAATATACAGCCACTGGGGGTTTTTCACTAGGAAAATACAATACAATGTGAGCAGCAATTATGAGAAGTTCCTGAAAAGTCACCTTACCCTTTGTCCCCAGCCTCTCCTTCCTGCCTATCCTTACTGACTTTATGAGCAGCCACTAAAAATGACATCTTTACTTGTCTAATGACACCATCTCTGGGTCACACTTTTGACAGAAGGATATGAATCTAGAATGGAATAAAAGCATCCCTAAAAATCAATTAGAAAGACAATGACTCTAGAGCAATTCAAAAAATTCTAAATTGCATCTACTTGTCAGAATATTTTACTTATAGTCTTGCTATTGATATTTGTATTTTAAAATCAATATCCTTCACATTAAAAAAATTTATGTTATGTCAGGTGTGGTCGTGCACACCTGTAATCCCAGCACTTCAGAGGCTGAGGCAGGAAGAGCGCCATAAGTTCACAGCCAGTATTGGCTACACAAGAGAGTTCAAGACCAGCCTGCACTACATAGTAAGATCCTGTCTCAAAAATACAAAAAAACCCCGCTTTTATGTGGACTCCAAGGGGTGGGGATGTAGCTCAGTGGCATAAGTGCCTACCTGGCAAGCGCAAGGTCGAGTTTGATTCCCGGTACCAGGAAAAAAAAAAAAAAGCATGTGGACTCCAGTCAAATTCTGTATTTTTGAGCATAAAACACTATGTTTAAAGAATCATTGAGACTTAATGCCAATCTCTGGTTATTCCCTAGCAGGCCTCAGAAATACCCTCATGTATACCTTCTTTTTTTTCCCTGTCATATGTCAAATGTTTAAAATTCTAAGCGTGAGCCAGAGGTGGTGTCGCAAGCCTATAATCCCAGTACTCAGAAGGCTGAAGCTAGAGGATCACTGAAAGTTTGAGGCCAGCCTGGGTTACATAGTGAGCTCAAGGCCAGCCTGGACTGCATAGTGAGATCCTGTCTCAAAAAACAAAACACAGAAAAACCTAAAATTCTAAGCATAACATTTTAATTTCTTTGGAGTAGAGGAAAACCCAGTGAAAAGTCCTAATATAAAACTACTAACAAAGCACCTACAGTTTATTCATTTAGTGGTGCTGGGGGTTGATCTCAGGGCCTCAGCTAGGCAAGCGTTCTACCCTGAGCTACAACCCCGCCCTCACATTATTTTTAAACTCACACTTTTTCCTAGTTGTTGTTATAAATTTAATATAACTCTCATTTTACATTCTCATCACTAAAAAGTTAAGAGAAAATGCACGCATCCAAAACAGTTTCTGGAAGCACAAGCATTGGCAGGGTGAGACATGCGCTCAGAGAAGATACTCACTGTGTGAGAACCGCTGAGTAATTGGGGTTCCAGGGTACGGGTAAGTGCGGCTCTCCCACTGAATGTTTCCTTCCTGAACAGCCTTCATGAAACCATGGTAACACTGATGGGCTACTCCTAAACACAAAAGAACAAATGCCTCAGCATTTGAATAGGTAATGCCTCAGACACTTAAATAGGTAAAATTCTCATTTAAAACTATACTTCTTTGTTTTTTTGAGACAGGTTCTCGCTGTGTAGTTCAGGCTGGCTTGAGTTCACTTTGTAGCCCAGGCTGGCCTCAAACACACAGCAATTCTCCTGCCTCTGCCTCTCAAGTGCTGGGATTATAGGTGTGCACCACCACGTCTGGCCACATTTCAAACTACGAATGGGAAATGTATACTCAAACTGTTCAAAACTAACCAAAATAAGAAGCAATAGAAAATATGTTAATTGTCTCATACAAAATTGTATAACCATAATACATTTAAAGGAGAAAAGAGAAAAACTGGGAACCTAAAAATAAATTCAACAAAACCTGAAATAAGTAACCCTTTTTCTTTCCACAGTACCTTTGATAAGTCGATACCATTGTTTGCAGACGAGGGCCGCAGTCTTGTGCTCCTGATACGGTGAGAGGAAAGACAAGATATACTCTAAAACTTCTTCTGGCAGCTCTGACATAGACCTATTGTGTCGAGGCTCCTCAACCTCCAGTCCTGGGTGGGCGTTTTCATCTTGCTCCATTGTCCCTTCCGGCGCAGTTTCTTCTTGGTCCACAGCCATGAAACTGTCATCTTCACTGTCTGAAGAGCTGGCCATGACATTCCACTCCAAAGCTATAGCAGGTAAGAAATGAACATCAGCACACAGCTGTCAAGAGACTCAGAAACAACTGAACCTCCACGCTGCTTGGGATTTCCTTTCCACCCTGGGCATGAAATCTTTTTGTATACTTTCTCACACATGTTACGAGCCATCTTAATTTAACAGGTGGGGCTCATATACCAAGCCCATCCCATCACAAAGGCTTCTGATTGCATATTTTTCTCTCCAGAAAATTAAATGGCAGCCAAGTCCTAGTATTACCTTAACACTGGAAAACTTGTTCTGCAATAATTCCTCTACCTCAAAAGATCTGGCAGGCTGGCAGAGGACAACTGGAGTAGCAAGTAACTGCTCTTGGCCACTCACAATGATCCAACAGCTCAACCTTAGAAGATAAACTAACTTTGGGTCCTACAAAAGTGCTAATATTCTGAGACTGTGAATTAAGAAATAAGAATTTGGGGGCTGGGAATATAGCTCAGCGACACAAGCGCCTGCCTGGAAAGCTCAAGGTCTTGAATTTAATTCCCAGTACAAAACAAAACAAAACAGAATTTGTACATTTGGGGCTGGGGATTTAGCTCAGCGGCACAGCACCGGCCCGGCAAGCGCAAGGTCGTAAGTTCGATTCCCGGTACTGGGAAAAAAAAAAAAAAGAAATAAGAATTTGGGGCTGGGCATGGTGGCACACACCTGCAATTCTAGCATTTGGAAGTCTAAGGCAAGAAGATCACTATCTGATGCCACCCTGGGTTACCTAGTAAGTTCAAAGCCCAGCTGAACTATGTAGCAGGACTTGTCTCCAAAAAAACCAAGGTGAAGGGTGTAAGAATTCTTGAAGCTGGGCTTGGTAGAACACACCTGTAATCTCAGCAGTTGGGAGGCTGAGACAGGAGGATCACCAGTTCAAGGGCAACCTGAGGTACACAGCAAGACCCTGTCTCAAACACCAAAATAAAAAAACAAAAGCAAAACCAAACAAAGACATGTTTTGGGTGATAGAGTGCTTACCTAGTATGCACAAGTATCTGCACTTGCTCCTTAATACTACAAAAACAAAACAGCTTTTCTAGCTTTTTTAAAAAAAGATGATTCTTTTAAAAGGATAATTAACTGGATAAAATACCAAATACAGTATAAGACTATAAGGCAATATTTCAATAGGAAATATCATAACAAACCCAGGCAATTAAAAAAAAACCACAAACCCAAATGCCCATCAACCACAGACCAGCATGGAGACACATGGCAGTAATCCTAGTACTTGGGAGGCTAAAGCAGGAGGACAACTAGTTTAAGGCCAGACTCAACTACAAAAAGAAACCAAAAGGCCAGGTGTGGTGGCACACATACTCAGGAGGCTAAGGCAGAGGAATTATTACAAGGTTGAAGGCACTGTGGGCTACATAGTGAGTTCAGGACCAGCCTAAACTATATAATGAGATAATGAGAACCTATCTCAAAAAAAAAAGGTGTGCCCAGTACTCAGGAGGCTGAAGCAGGAGGACTGCCAGGAGTTGAACTATACAGTTATTTCAAGGCCAGCATGAACTACATAGTGAGACCCTGTCTTGAAAATTCAAAAAAAAAAAAAAAAAAAAAAAAAAAAGAAAAACAAAAAAACAGATAAACTATGATACATTCACACAATGGCATACTATAGAACCAACAAGACTGATAGGTACAAACAAGAATAAATAGATCTCAGACAATGCTGTGTGAGACAAAGCATATACATACTACATGACTACACGATAGCAAGTTTAAAGCCAGGTGCAACTAATTTATGCTGTTACAAATGAAGACAGTGGTTACCTTTGGTAACTCTGAAAAGTTCCTAAATACTGGTCAAATTCTGTTTCCTGATTGGGTACTGATCACATGGATGTGTTCTATGAAATACTCACTAGGCTGAATATTTATGCACTTCTCTAAAGTTTGCCAAAATAAGCTATTATCCATAGTCATTTCTAGAGGATTTTTTTTTTGGTACCGGGAATTAAACTCAGGACCTCAGGCTTGCAAGGCAGGCGCTGTGCCGCTGAGCTGTGTCCCAGTCCTATGTCAAATATTATAGGTAATTAAAAAAATTTCTTTTGTCTTTCTCTGTATTCCCTAAATTTTCTAGAAAGACCATACCATGTTAATGAAACAGGTCAATTTATATGAGAACTGAGTCCCAAGTTAGATTCTGCAGGAAGCAGATGCTAAACAGAATTAGCAATGAAGAAGGTTTAACGGGAAGCCAGACTGTGATGCAGACCCAACAAAGCCTGCCCAGCAGAAAGCCAGTCCCACAGGGCAGTGAGAGAGGAATCTGTGGTAACACAGGGATCAGCCTCCTGAGTGCTGGGATTGTAGACATGGGGTACCACACCTGGTTTCTATTTTGTTATTTTTAATACATTTACTCACCTTATATACTGCTATATAATACTGCTACCCAGAACATCACTGTATATATTACCCTATATTACCAATACCCTGCATTCCCTCTAGCACTGATAAAGAAAATATTAATAGAAAAAAAAAAACTTTTGAGATTTTAAGAGAAATTTGAAATTTTCCAAAAAGATGAGGGAGAGGGGAGAAGAGAGAACAGACCCTCCTACCTCACCTCTACCACTCCTATAATTCATATAATAATGATGTACATCTTTAAAAATTGGAAGAATATTCAATTAAAGAAAATGATAACTTTTCTTTTTTTTTTGTCCCAGGAATCGAACTCATGACCTCAAGATTTCTAGGTAAGCACGTATGCCATTGAGCTATATCCCCAGCCCAACTAAAGAAAATGGAAATGTGAACCAAAACTCATTGCTCCCAAAGATCATTTATCTACCAAATTATCACAGCTCCTACTGCAACTGTGTCTCAGTGAAGCAGCGTTTAGATTCCTGCCAATCAGCAGCAGCGGGTGGCTTCTCAGTGGCAGAGAGGCCTAAATCCTCTTGGGGTGGAAGGGAGAGGCACTAGCAGCAAGAGGGCTGCATTTTCCTTCACTTCCCAGATGAAGAGGACTGTAATGAGTTAGCTGAAATTGTATTAGACAAAGGATCTTCAGCCTTTTTCTGCCCCATTTCAATGAGCTGCTTTTCAATGTGCGTAACTTGCCAGAGGGAGGCCTTGGCATTAGCAGACACTTGCATGTGCAGCCCTCCGTCCCAGCCCAAACAGCACAGGCACGCACAACAGAAAGGAAAAGTCGGCAAGGTGTTTATGCCCCGGTCCCCGATTAAATGCTGCATTTTTTAATACTGGGAAGAAAACTGCCCTTGCAATATTCTAATTCCTTCCCCCGCGCAGTACCACTCCCCACTGCCTTCCCTGATTTACTGACCTTCCTCTCACTCCTCTCAGTTTAAAATTCACCAAGAGTCCAAAGGAAACAGGCTCTTTATGTTTTTCATGCTTGAATTAAATACACCATCTCAAATATATGTTTCCCTTGCACATGTTCTGACAGATTGTGAGCCCAAGGTCTGTTTCAGAACAAACTGAATCAATGGAAGTCTCAAAAGGTCATTTACATTATTTTTCCCAGGCAAGATAAATGCCCGTTCAATAAAACAACTTAATTCCTTTCCAAAAGTTCTAACAGTACAGTTAGCAAGTTTCAATACAGGCACTAACACTGCTGTTTCCATCATGCAACAAACCACTGCACCTCAGCCCCCAAGGGCGTATTTGCTAGCTGAGCCCTGGGTGCAGCTGCCAAAGAGAAGGCACAGGGGTGGCTCAGAGGCGATTCCTCAGGAATCACGCGCCCAGAGCCCATCTGCGTGGCCTTCGTTTTGCTTCCATGATCAGGTAATGAAATCATCACTCACGCTCCCTAAGGACACGAAGGCATCCCACAACTGAGTTTTTCTTGTTTTCATGCCAAAAGAAGCTTTTCAAACCAAAAAAAGCCATTCACATATAAACTGTGTTAACTTCATGAATGTGGTTTCATGAAATGGTTTAAGAGAAACCTTCCTCACTCTTCACATTTGTGCCACACCTTCTCATTTTCCCCAGCAACTGAGTCTGAGAAAAAACACACACTGAAGTCAACTCACAGGATGCCGTGGTCCATGGAGCTTGAGACCACTCTCCTGGGGGTCCCGGCCTTCTGGCACAAGGTATACAAATGAGTACAAACTCCCTGACATGTCTACTCAGAACACGTATCACTGACCTCCCATTATTTCACAATAGAAATTACGTCATTAGTACATTCTCCAAGTGGCAGAGCTGCCTTTTCTGTGTCATTGGGTGCTGCCAAGATATTTTATCGGTCAGAATTAATGTACCTCTCTTGAATTTTGATGTTTCAAAATGTGCACTGGCCTGAGAGTCTGCTGCCACACCTCGCCACCTTCTCCAGGTCAAAAGGCAAAAATAGTGCTAAAAAACCATTTAACTGGCCCACGAGGATTTTTTTTTGAAAAACTATTATATTAAATTCAATTAAATACACAATACTCCCTTCCCTCTCTTGCTCCCTCCTTTCCTTCCTTCCTTTCTTAGCACTGCTGGGGATCCAGCTCAGGGCCTCATGCATACTAGGCAAGTACCCTACCACTAAGCTACATCCCAAAACCAATTTCTAAAATTCAAGTACCTATCCTGAGGTATAAAGTAAGGGTAACATTTAGAAACTGGGAGATTTGGCTACTGTTTCTAGCTTTAAAGCTGTGTGAAGCCGGCATGGTGGGGCACTCCTGAAATCCCAGCACTCAGGAGGCTGAGGCAGGAGGATTCTTGCGAGTTTGAGACCAGCCTGGGCTACAAAGTGAGCTCAAAGCCAGCCTGAACTGCATAGTGAGACCTTGCCTCAAAAAGGCAAAAACAAAACAAAACAAAACAAAAAACCCACTGTGTGAATCAGAGTAAGTCAAATCCAGGAAGAAAGGAAAACCTCCCTATTCATAAGGAAGGTTCCTGGCCTACATCATAAGGGTTCTGTAAAGATAGCAAGTATCAGCAAACAATCCTCAATGCATTTGAAGAAATTCAAAATGGGAATAAAATTACTTTATTACGTGTACAAGTCATTGGGGATTTTTAGTACAGTATCTGATTAATTTGTGCCTTTTGTTCCTAAAACAGTTAAACCTCTGACAACACTTTTGGAGCAAACACATCTTTATAAAAGTAGGGCCGTGTGTGGTGGCACACACCTGTAATTCCAGCACTCAGGAGGCTGAGGCAGGAGGATTGAGCAAGTTTGAGACCAGCCTGGGTTACATAGTGAATTCAAGGCCAGCCTAGGTTGCATAGCAAAGCCCTGTTCAATTAAAAAAAAAAAAAAAAAAAAAAAAAAAAGGGCACTGGAACCTAAGAAAGAGGGAAGACTGAATGAATGAAAATACCCACAGTATCCATCAGGATGAGGGCTTCTGAGGTTTCAAGGACAAGCAGCAACCTCACATAGATGCCTTTATGAACTCAAGAAGTTATACAGTAGGGACACTAATGTGACCTAAAACAGTACAAAGTGCTGCTCTTGAAAATATAAACTACCACTGGAGAGATGTACAAAAGATCGTGATTTTTTTTCTAAGATAATAATAAGCCTTATTAGTATGCCACCAATATTATCATTATCTCTGTACCAATTCAAAGGTAAAGCTAGGAAAGGTAGAGGAATGATAAAATACAAAATTTTGTCCTACTTCATTCAACAAATAGCAACATCACGTTTTGCTGTATATAAAAATACTGTGCTTAGATTCCACAGAAAGTAAGAATATGGCACTGTCTGCTCTCAGAGACATTATCTCGAGAAGAGCTGAAGACACATGCTAAATAACAGCAACACAGAACACCCTATAATAAATGACTTGTAGCATAAGCATTCAGGAGAGAAGAGGACCTCCTGAGGCAAGCATGTGAGGTGAGCTTTGATAGGTGAGATTTCAGAGAATCAAACAGAAGGTAAAGGAATGAAAGATTTTCAAATCATTATTTCTTAAATTGGTATTACTTTGTTTGTTCATTTGAGGCAAGCGTCTTGGTGTGTAGTTTAGGCTGACTTTGAACTCACGATATAGCCCAGGCTGGCCACAAACTCACGGCAATCCTCCTGCCTTGGGCTTCCCAGTGCTGAGATTACAGGCATCTGCCAGCATGCCTGGCTTTAATTGGGATTCTTTGCCACTTACAGAATTAACTTAGATAAAATAATGAAAACCACTTTGTACTCAATTGGTGTTTTAACCACACACACATACTATTTAATACTATTTAGTGATCTACATTCACAGAAGCTCATAAATCTAGGAACTCCTTAGTTTCTGATAGTCAATATTTTGACAAAAAAGTTCAAGAACAGAATAATTTGGCATAACTATTATTATTATTATTAGCAAGCTGTGAGCTACACGAATTCTGAGCTGTTTCTATGAAGCACTCCAAACTTAATAACAGATGTCAGCTGAAGGTTTTTATTTTTTTTTTTAATGATTAACACATCAGTGTGTTACCCAGTTAAAGCTCCCAGTACTGAGACAGAAAAATTAAGTATTTCCCCAAACCACTTGTCAATGTATACTGTACTTTCTTACCATTCTTTATGGTTGATACAGAATGAAAGCGTCTTATAATTCATATAAGTCATAGAAACAGAGCAGTTTTCAGGGCTGCTATCCTTAACCATACAAAGTATAAATGGTCAAGAAAAGGCACAGATTTTAATCATCAAAGGACATACTCTAGGTTCCAAAATTTTGGTATGCAGGACCACATATTCTAGGTTCAACAAAATGTTTCATTTGGTAGAAAAAGTATAATGCTCAATTTTTTATTCTGTGAGAGCTGCACATTTATTTTACTTATTGTTTTATTTTGTTTTGAGGCAGGGTCTCAAATGTGGCAATCCTCCTGCTTCAGCCTCCTGAGTGCTGGGATTACAGGTAGGTGCTACAACGTGTAGCTTGCATTTTTTTGGTGAAGGTACTGAGGATTGAACCCAGGGCCTCACACATGCTAACCAAGCACTACACCACTGAGCTACATGCCTAGCCCTTGAATTTTGCTTTTCAACAGAAATGTATAAATGATTTTCAGGTTAATTTAAATTAATATATCTGCTTTTTTTTTTAGTAGTGCATACCTGAAAACTCAGCTATCCAGGAACTGAGGCACAAAGGTCATGAGTTCAAGGCCAGCATTGGCAAATAGCAAGATTCTGTCTCAAAATAAAACGATAATAAAAATGCAACTGTTCTTCAGTTGTGCTGGAAAACCATTTTCTAACTGTAGAAAAATTTTAGAAGTATGGTGGCTACTGGTCAAAGTACAGGGCAACTAGCAAACATGAACGTAACCTGTTTCTTCTGGAAATAATTACCTGCCCTTGTCCTCAGTTGGCAGGTTACGTTTATGTTTTGCTCCTTAGTTCTCTCTCTAAATTTTGCCCTGCAGTACTGGGGATTAAAACCAGAGCCTTCTCACTGAACTATATTCCCAGCCCCTTTTTTATTTTGAGGCGGCTTACCAAATTGCCCAAGTAGGCCTTGAACTTAGGATCCTCCTGTCTCAACCTTCCAGAGTGCTGGGATAACAAGGTGTGCACACCACCAAGCAGGCTTCTAAAAAGAAGGTCTCTATTATTAACAAGATTTCACTATTTAAACACCTTTTTTAAAGTTTACCTTTTAAACTGCCATCAATTATATCAAACTTTATTATTGTTACTGAAGGTACTATAATCAAACCATAGAGTTCATAACTTTCCATAGAAGCTAAAGTTTTAAATAACAGGTTCTCAGGCAAGATGCAATTTTATGCTGCTTTACAAAACTTAAATTAAAAAAAAAAACAGGTCCAAACCTCAATCCAAAATTATGTAAGTTAGAAAACACCTCAAAATCCAGAGGAATCAAGTGAAGTAAAGGAAAATAAAATTCTCCCCTGGGTTGAAAATGACTAAAACAATCACCATTTCATGGCTTCAGTTTTAAGGTGGACATCTTTCTGGTTCGCTCATCCACTGCAGATCTGTTTCAATAAAAGGAATATTTTTATTAATTTAAGGCACATTACTCACATAAATCAATCCTGTTATCAGGAAATGTTTCCCATAATTAAAAAAATGTGAAGACTGGTTCTACTTTTGACTCTACTTTTTTTTTTTTTTTTTTTGGTCTTTTTGAGACAGGGTCTCGCCATGCAGTTCAGGCTGGCCTTGGGATCACTTTGTAGCCCAGGCTGGTCCTGAACTCACAACAATCCTCCTGCCTCAGCCTCCCAAGTGCTGGGATTACAGGCACGCCAGGCCCTCGACTCTACATTCCTTGCAATACATACAGTCTATCTTCATACCCTACATAGGCATTTCTGATGTTGCACAGCCAGAATGCAAACAGAGGAAGCAAAAATTAAAACATTTATTGGGTTTGGTAACCATTTTCAATGCACAAACCTGGGGATTGGGGCTCAGCAAGGTAATTTTCAGGTAGATTTCCAATGCAAACATCCAAAAGTGTGCCCCCCAAAAATGCATGCACCAGAGGAGGATTGTTTTATCTTCTCTGCAATGACAAAAACTTGCAAATCTTAAGTGTCTATTAACGGGAGCATAACTAGATAAATGATACCATATCCAGACTACAGAATTTAACTATCTAGTATTTTATTTATTTTTTATACTCAATATTTTAAAAAGTGACCACCAGCGTACACTGACATAAAAACACCTCCAAGACTAGTTTGCAAAAAATACAAAATAATGATTATCCTACTATATGTCCACATATACATTAACGTATAAATGTACTACATATACATAAATACATAAGAATTATCTAGACACTGGGGGTGGTGGTACATACCTGTAAACCCAACTACTTAAGTGGCTGAGGCATAAGGATCCCAAGGTTGTGGCCAGCCTGGGCAATTTAACAAAACCCTGTCTCAAAAATAAATAAATAAACAAACACAGAGCTGGGCTATAGTTCAGTAGTGGAGCACCTGCCTAGTATGCCAGAGGCCCGGGGCTCAATTGCTAACACCACAAAAATAGAATGAAAAAAGAAAAAATGGTGAGAGAGCTATCAAATTTAGTATCTCTGAGGAAGAGAAAAAAAGCCTCTGCCTTAAAAAATCAACATGTAAAAGACAAATATATCACACATTCAAAGCTGTATCAAGGTGCAGCTGCTACAGGAACAGTACAGAAGATCCTCAAAAATTAAATGCCTGGCATGGCAGTCATACATCTGTAATCCTAGCACTCAGGAGGATCACAAGTTTGAGGTTTCTGTTCCAGGAAGAATGAAAAAGTTGTGGGACTGATGGTGTTGATGGTTATATAGTGACAGTGTATCTCTGCCACTAAACTATATATTTAAAACTGAAACTGGTGTGGTAGTAGCAGCACACCGGACGCTGAAGCAGGAAGACTGCCGTTTGAGGCCAGCCGGAACTATATACCAAAGACCTTGTTTCAAAAAATCAAACCAAACCAAACCAAACCAACAAAAAACACAAAAAACTGAAGCTGAAGCCAGTTACAGTGGCATACACCTGAAATCCCAGTACTCTGGGAGGCTGAGGCAGCAGAACTGCAAATTCAATCCAGCCTGGACAACATAGTGACTTAGTGAAACCCCTGTCTCAAAATTAATAAAAAATGGCACAGATACTGACAAGTGAGAAGATCCTGGGTTCAATTACCAGTACAAAGGAAAAAAAAGAAAAGGACCCAGGTATGGTAGCACATGCCTATAATCCCAGCACTTGGGAGGCTGAGGCAGGAGGACTTGTTGCAAGTTCAAGGCCAGTCTGGACTACAAAGTGAGCTCAAAGTCAGCCTGAACTGCATAGTGAGACCCTGTCTCAAAACAAAAAAAAGACAAAAAAAAAAAAGCTTTGTGTGGACATACCATAATTTATCCATTCTACCACTGACAGAAATCAACTGGCTTCAATGCTTAGCTGTTATGAAATAATTACCATTTTCTACATTCTCTAAACAGTGGCTTTCAAGCTTTCTTTTCTTTTTCTTTTTCTTTTTTTTTGGTACCCAGAATCGAACTCGGGTTGGTTTTTTTGTTTTGTTGATACTGGTAGTCAAGCCAAGAGGCACTCCATCTCTGAGTTACAAACCCAGCTGGGGTTTTTTCTCCTATTTTGAGACAGGGTCTCCCTAAATTGCCAGGTGGAATTTGAACTTGCAATTCTCCTGCCTCAGCTCCAAAATGCTGGGATTGCAGATGTATTGGGTTTTGTATATGGTAAGGAGTTGACTAAAGGTGGAAGGTCCCAGGAGCTTAAGGCCTGGTGCTCATCACAGGAAAGACTAAAGCAAGACTACAAAGTTAGAGCTAGGCACCAAGATGGTGGAGCAGTAGGCAGCAGAGAAAGAGACTCTGTGAGAGTCACCATCCAGATGCTGGAATATAGCAATGTGAGGAAGACAAGCAGGAGGGAAATGGGTCCTCTGGACCCAGGAAGGATCTGAAGCACAAACTGAAGCCCACAGAAAGAGGGAAGAGAGAAACTTCAACAAAGAAGGAGGAGGTAGCCAGTTGTGCCTTCTCCCTTAGACAGGACTCACTAGTCAAGAGAAGCAGTCCAAACCTGCAGGCACACAATGACTGCTGGCAACCCTAGAGGCCTCTATGGACAGACTCAGCAGTGAAGGGCAGCAGTGGACGTAAGGGACTGGACTAGCTGGCAGTGAGTGCTGAGGGATCAGTCATCCCATGCAAGACAGGGACTGGCTGAGAACCATCTTGGAGAGGGGCTGACTGAGCTCAGAACTCAGAACAGCTGCAGGCTTCATCTAGTGGCTCCCAGCTGGGCTCAGGCCCATAGAAGTTTCACTGATGGCTGCAGACCAAATGAGTCTGGTCTTGGCCAGAAGGTGTAGGCTTACTGAGATTATCCACTACCCCACCAAAAAGCTACTGCTGGCTTGCTGGGATAAATCAACACGGACTAGGACTCTGTCTCCACCTTCTGTCTACTAGTGACAGCAGAGACAAACCTGGAAGTGGACTTTTTTTTCCTCTCTCTTTCTGTTTTTTGTTGTTGTGTTGGTGGTGGTGGTTTTGTTTTTGTTTTTTATTTTTTTGCTCCTTCATTGTTTGATCTTGTTTTTATGTGAGTGTGAATGTGGTTTCTAGCCTCTTTGTGGTTGTTGATCCCTGAGGGTAAAACTAACATATTAAGGACCTGCATACTGCATATAATTTTCTGGTCTGTTTTAGATTCTGTTAAATAACCACAAATCTAATTCACACAGTTAAAGGTGACAAATTAATGGTCACCTCAGTTTGTCATTTTGTAGGCTATAATTGATGCTACTGTTATTGCAGATGGGACCACTTTAGCCAAAAATGACATAATTGTTCTCAACAGCTATTCTTCCTGTATTCCAAGACTGAGATTGATTAAGGATCATAGGAAATACTGTGGCACAATGCCAAAGAACCAGGGGCTGGGTCAAACAAGCAGCAACTTCTCATCTCCAACAAACTGAAGAGGTAGGATCTTACAAAGCACTCAAAACCCAAATACCAGTTCCACCTGGAAGATACCTTGGAGAAGTAGTCATTTCCTAAGGATTCTAAATACTAGCAATAAAACAAACCACCACAGGCAATTTACAAGCATCACCCCAGAATTAAACTAAAAAAAGAAAATAAGACACTTTAAACAAGATGCAACCCCAGACATCTGCTTCACCAAAGGCAAACCCGGGGGCAATGAGGTGGGACAATGTGAAAGCCACCCACCTGGCCTCTCTGAAGTGATAACAACAAAGCAACTGAATGAAGTGCTTGAAAATAATCAAATCAGAAATAATTTGTCAGGTAACTGCAGAGATGGTGTCCACGATGAAAACCATGCTTGATGACTCTAGAGCAGATACAGACAAAAAATAGAGAAGCTTAAGAAAATTATGGAAGCCACAAATGTTCAGCACAGGAAAGAAACAGAATCCATGTGCTTGAAGGCAGATTCAAGCACATATCCAGGAGAATAAAAATTCCATTGAAAAGTATCCACAGCAGGATAAGCCAATGCACGGACAGAATCTCAGATATAGAAGACAGGCTTGTGGTTAGTAATCATGAGAAGAAAGACTGCTTAAAAATTGCAAGGGAAGGGGCTGGGGATTTAGCTCAGCGGCAAAAGCGCCTGCCTGGCAAGCGCAAGGTCGTGAGTTCGGTTCCCGGTACCGGAGAAAAACAAAAACAAACAAAAAAAAAAATTGCAAGGGACAATGAGAAATCAATCCAGCAGCTGCTATATGAGGCAAAGAAGAATACTTTAAGATTGACTGGGGTCAAAGAAAAAGCAGGAGATAGCACAAATGATATAAAAAAAAAAAAAAACTATTCAAAGATGTCATGGCAGAAAATTCCCTGGTAAGGAAAAAGAATCTGGCATGAAGTTAAGTGAGACATATAGAACTCCAATTAGCTAGCATCAAAAAAATCTACAGCCAGGCATATTATAATCAAGATTCCAGAAATTCAACCTAAGAATAGAATCTTAAAAGCTGTTAGGGAAAAAAAAAAAGCTGTTAGGGAAAAGAAACAAATCACCTAAAAGGAAAGTTCATCAGGATCACAGCTGACTTCTCAGCACAAACCCTCAAGGAGAGCTTGGAGTGAAGTACTTTAAGTTCTAAAAGGAAACAACCTTCAACCCAGATTGATGTACCCCATAAAACTATATTTCAAAATTGATGGAGAAATAAGATACTTCCATGATAAAGAACATCTGAGGAAATTTATGATCACCAAATCAAGACTCCAAAATGTTTTGAAGGATATTCTAGAAAGAGACAAGGACTAACAAGAACTACAACTCCATGAACCCCAAAAGAAGAAATATACCAGGCAAGGCAAACAGTTAAAGAGAGGGAGGGGAAACAAATAGGGAGGGGGAGCCAACAACAGGAAAATAATATGACAAGGGTAAGTCAATATACATTAGTTATAACCATCAATGTTAATGGTCTCAATTCACCAATCAAGACACAG